GGTAATCATTTAGGCAGTCAGATAGGTGTACAAGCTGCGCTGTGTGTTATATAATCGCAGGAAATAAAAGTTGTTCGCACACTTATGTTTATTTATTTATGTATGCAAATGTATCTCTCAAGATAAAGTTACTTAAAAACTTATAAAACCGTAAGAAATTGTAACATGCAGACGAGAGAGCAGCGTAATAAAATGTAAAAGCAGATAAAGAGTTAACTTTTGTTTTTCGCCGCTATGTAGAAAAGCGAGGATTTAGACGAATTAATACCATTTTACAGTTAATGAGTAAAGGACAAGAAATTTTAAAAAATATTCATTTATTCAAAATTAAGTTAAATTTATTCATTACATTTAGTTATTTATTTATTTCTATTTATTTTTTTTTTTTTTTATGTACTACAACCCTGCACAATACGGGCGGTTAAGTATTTTACAGTCGTCGTGTCTGCTAATTAATGAGTAGAGAATTTTAAAGCGATTAACTACGTCATTGTTGATCTTATAATTTAAACTGAAGCTTATCACTCTCTCTCTCTCTCTCTCTCTCTCTCTCTCTCTCTCTCTTTCTTTCTTTCTTTGTACAAGACTAACAAGTAGTGACAATAATACCTTATAGCACAATAGCTGAGCCGATCAATATACGTTGGCCACACTGAAGTTTCAATGCTGTAATGAATGAAACATCCTTGAGCGAGACATGCTGCCGATCTCCGATCATCTATCGATCAAGCTAAACATCTATTTGTATCTACCAAACCGATTGAAAGGTAATAAAACTAAGTTTACCATGACATTCGGCAAACATTTTTGGGCAGACAATTCTTAAGTATCGCTCCACAAAAATGCATTGATTTTCCCAGATATTTTCTAGGTCGCTCAACTCCTCGGATTTAATTCCGTTTAAAAGTTCTAGGTGTTCTACCACTCAGGAGACATCGTTTTCATTCAATTGAATATGAAAGTGAACTAACTTATGTAATAAATTGCTGAAAATATTGCCTTTAAATTTGACTCGCATATATATGTATATATAGATGCGTTGCTGAGAGAAATAAAATTCTTTTGAATACTACCTCTCTTGACCACTGACTAAAATTCCACGAATAAGTTTATCGAATAAACGTCACAAAGACATTCTTACGCTTTCCTAACGTACGGATACGTCAGGTAACTCACGTTTTTTGACTTTGTCCAATTGTTGACTTGCTCTATTTTCGAAATGATTTATTTTATCGGGCGATGATATATGCATATAATGTTGATTCGCATGTCCTATGAAATTTCCATGAAGCCTAAGCATATTTATGTGACGGGAATTGTGTATAAAATTTTTTTCCAAATAAGCCTTTCTACGGGTAGGAGTATCTTAACATTTGGCCACCTTTGAGTTAATCACTAAAAAAACAAAAACCTTGACAGACATTATACGGACAGACGGGCAGGTGAATAAACAAGCTCAAAGCGATAGACGCAATGAAAGGTTGCGGCCATTTTAGATTCTTCTGGGTTTTACATGCATCCTTACAATCTTGATATATCCTGCACAGCAATTAATGTAGGGTAGAAAACGTTACTGTTTTTAAGTGTGTATTTAGCTTACTGCCTAAAAATTTTATTGTTTTTCAGATTTCGTCATAAAAAGCTAGAAATTACACTTTTTTTTTCCATATAAGGGATGACTCCTTTATATGTTAGGGTCTAAAAATACAGCTGTCTGATCAAAATTCCCTCGTTCGTTGATTTTTTTTACTAAATTGCCGCTATGGACCAATTTTAGTCATAAGATATTAAAAATGAAATTTTTTCTCAAGCGATTAATATTCATTGAGGAATCTTTCATAGAATGGGGTCGAAGAAATAGTATCCTGTGGTTCAAATTTTTATGTCATATTAGTAACATGAAAAAATTTTCATCATACAACATTAACAATTAAGGCTTTTTGGTATAAAAAGTTTCAAATTTCCTGAGAATCGTTATATGGGATGGTATCCAAATAATAGGCCTACATATTCGGTAAGGTTGGGTTCTTTGTCAATTTACTACTATGAACCAATTTTCACCATGAAGAATTGAAATTTTTACCTTTTTACCATATAAACATTCAGAGCGATTCTGTTAGAGAAGGGTCAAAAATGTATCCCACCCGAAGCTAGTTTTTCAAAGTACTATTACTCAGCTAGTTTTGTCGAAAAATTTAGAAAATTTCAATATTTTTCCATATAACGAAAAAAAAATCGAAAAGTGAAACCGAATCATTTTCAATAGCGTTCGCCCTTGAATCAAAGCAAGTCAGTGTACGAAGTTTCATCGAAATATCTCAAAAATTACGGATAGATATGGATGAGTAAGCGGACAGCCGGATAGACAAGCTTAGATCGGTATAATAGAAGGCGGGTTCATCTTAAACTCTTCTGAGTGTTATATACGTACTTTATGTTATAGGTAGTGCGGGGAGTACAAAGGGGCAGCAATTAAGAAATGTGTAGGATGAAAATAAGTTCGGATCATATGTCTTGTCATACTTTGGTTAAAAGGACAGCATTTAACAGTTAATTTCATTTAAGTTTTTTCGCATTAATCGTTTATTAAAATTGTTTTTTTTTGTGTTTCCAATAATGTTATTGAAATTTTATTGGTTTTTATATATTAATATATATATATATATTTTTTTTTTGGTATTTTTATTGTGTTTGCCATACGTGCATGTGTGATTAATTTAATTTGAATTTATTTATTTATTTGTGTTTTTTTTTTTTTTTCTGCATGTTAAAATTTATTCAGAAAAGTGACTCAATTTTGCCAAACATTACATTCGTTGGTAAACCCACTGGAGATTCATTACACATATTTAAATGTTTAAATGTTAAGGTAGGTTTTTTAAGACATAACGAGAAAAAAAAGTGTGGCACATAAGTGTGTGTTGTTCCTTTAAACACCATACATTTTACTTAATTTGAATTGAACATTCGCATCGCAATCAAAGACACAAAAACAATGCTTGATTTATATGGTGTGCACTCAAGCACACGAAACAAAGGTTGAGAGATAAATCAAATAGAGAATATGCGAACGAATGCTGGGCGCTGTAAACAATAACCAAACTGAACAAAAAAAAGAAAACTCACCAAACAGCTGTCTATTTTAACAGAATGTTAAATGTAAAGGTGAGAGATAAATTTCGAATTGCTAACAGAAAGAGAGTGCAACTTCCAATGTTACCAATGTTTTTAAAAGTAAATGTAATGAGTGCTATTTAGCGACAAGACAAGCACGTGTTTGGCAAGGGGGAAAGAAGTAAAACGAAACAGAGTTTACACACTGCGCCATCGTTTCGCGCTGTTTTGATTATCAATTATTCTTATATATCCTTATAGCCTATAAATATTGACTTAATCTTGCGATCGCATAAAAACTATTTCAAATCTCGAGTGTGCGTGAAAAATTCGTTAGAAAACAGCCGACACTTTGTATACGTGGTAGACAAATCTCACCAGGAGCAATGCAAAAGCCTTTCATGGGGCTTTCTATCAATGAGCACAACCGAATTGACCGAACGACCGACATAACATATAACAGTATGTGTTAAATATTATTCCGTCCATCGCGGGGGTCTTTAAATAAGACGCTCTTGTTTTAAGGTTTCCATATGGTTTTCCCACAGAAATTCAAATATCAGTCCAATAATTCCTTGGCAAACAGCAACAAGTCAAAGTTATAACATCACTTTACCCAGTGTCTACACATTCATCCTCGTACTTTAACACCCAGATATATGCCACAAATACCCGATAAAATTTATGTGTTTTTAATAAGCGAAAGTTTGTATACCATTGTCCGTATTTCCATATGTCGCGATTTCTCAATACTGTTTTAAGAACATTTTAATGCTTACAGCATTTTACTTAAGGTTACATATGAAGGCAGACAGATATGAGGGACAACTCTAAAAAAAGAACAATAATTCGAGCTATCGCGAAATTTATCACTTATTGACTAAATTTTTGGATAAAATTGAATTTAGGCGCACCTGCAACACTTGCGTTTAAAGTAACGACGCCAATCGAGAGCACGATGTGCTTGTGTAGTCGACTTACTTACTTTTGTTTATAAAATTTTTTCGTTTTTAGTTTGTGGATTTTATGTTAAATGTAGCTAATGTTGATGTTTTTTGTTTTTTTTTTTTTGCAGACCTCTTTGATTAAAATAAGATTTATGTTGAAGAAATGTTAGCCGAACGCCGGCATTATTAGTCAATTTTTACTCTCACAAATTGAATTTCATATTCTCCGCATATTTTTAGGGCCTCGATAAGTAATGTATAGATGAGTAAATTTTACTCTCTGAAAATGAATTTCATATTCTCAGCATTTTTGTGGGGCCGCGATACAAACAGGTACAGTGAAGAGAGTAAAGTCAGTTTTATTCTCCGAAATTGAATTTCATATCCTCAGCATTTTTTGCCTCTGAATTTTGCGTGTGGCTGTGTTGTAAATCTTGTGCCGTGTGTATTTTGTCGTTGAAAAAAATAATTGTGAACAACGGATGGCGTTAACGTTATTGTATAAGTATGCATTTTATAAACAGTTTGCATTTTGTTGTTGTCTTGGTAACATTTAAAATCGGAAATAATTTTGGGAAAACTTTTTGCTCTTCAAACGCTAAGGATCTGTAAATAAATGTACGTAAATCAGATGTCACATCACAGAAATCGGTAAAAGCGGTAAAAAAGAAAAAAAAAAAAACGAAAAATTGCTTAACGATAAATTTTTCATTAATTAATAAATTTGAATTAATTTATATACCCATTGGAGGCTATTGTTATTGAAATAAAAAAAAAAATAAATAAATAAATAAAAATAAAAATAAAAATAAATAAATTAAGAGGAAAATATCAGTCAGTTCTCTCAACGATAAACGACATCAAATAATTAACACTATTTATTGTAAAAGAAAACACTTGTTTGTTGTAAGAAATGAAAGAAAACAAGATCGTGTTAGGGCAACAATAAACAAGCCTATATATATATATATATATATATATATATAAATATAATAGGAAAATACGTGTGGAAAAAACGTGTAGCGGAATAGATGAGATTTGAGTGCGTTTTAATATATCAGATAATATCAAACGAAAATTCTTTATAAGAAAGAATACGAAACGCGAATACGAATAAGTGAACGAAAAGAAATCCTTTCAAAAAAATGTTGAATAAATAAATATTAAATGCAAACAAAAAAAAAAAAAAAGGAAAACTACTAGTACGGGGTTATCCTTCAATTTTTTTCTTTTTACAATTCAATAAAATTTCATTTGTTATTACATATACATACAAACATATGCATACATATATTTATTTATATATATATATATATATATCTATATAAATATATATCTATATAAATATATATCTATATAAATATATATATATTAATATATATATATATATATATATATGTACACATATATTACTATGCATGTGCTCTTTGCGAAGTAACCAAATAAAACCTGATTTTCTTACGGTCTTTTAAGGCAAACGGCATTTAATCAACAGTTTGCTTGGGTGCATATATTTGTGTAAGTGTTCTTGTATATGTTTATATGGCAAATTGCATAGCATGTGTTATAAGCCTCTTCTTCTACTCTCTTCATGTTTTTCTTAAATCATTTATTAGTTTTTCTTAAGCCTTCAAAGTGCATCTTAAAAAGAAAAAAAGAAAGAAAGAAAAAAAAAAAAAAATAAATAAAACAAAAAAGTAGAAAATCCGGTGAAGATAGAACAAGCATAAAAATCCAGTCAAGGAAGAGTTTACATATAAACACACATAACAGAACCTTAAACCATGTGAACGAATGAGCCGAGACATCTAAGCAGCAATAACAACGTTGTTACATTAAGAATTAAAGAAAAAGCCTACGAAAGGCATATGTGAAGAGAAAAGTCAGCATTTTACTGGTGAAGAAGCCAATTGCTTTTGAAAAAATGTTTTACAAAAATTAAAACTACAAAAAAAAAAAGAAAAAAATTTCTTAAGTTAATTTTAAAAATTAATTTTTTTTTTTTTTTTTTGGCTTTTATGTTATGAGTTATGAGTGATGATAAAAATCGAGGAAAAAATTGTTGAAATATTTAAACCCATCTTTGGTCTATTGTGTGTGTGTGTGAATGTATTCCGGGAAAATATAAATTAATTTCCTTGAAAATTTTATTCTGCGTATGCCGTTCTATCTGTACTTGTTGTGCACACACTATCGTATAGTGCGTAATCCAATTTACACGAAGGTTTCCGAAATTCTAGTACCGTGTTAGAAGGAAGCCTTGTTGTAAGTAGCCACGTTGAACGACCAATTCCACAAAATGTCGAGTTTACAAAAAAAAAAAAAAAAAAAAAAAAATGCAATTCGCACAAGTCCTTGAAAAAGCTGGTAAAACTTTTTGCCTTAATTACGAATAATTATTTTATGGAATTTAACAAAAAATTTCCTTGAAAATGTGAGGAAAAATATGCATAGGAAGAATTAAAGTATATCAAGAAAAAATCTTTTTCCCTTATATGTGAATATAAAGAAGAATCCGCAGCATAGAAAATGCGAAAATTTTTGGTAATTGTGGGCGTGTCGGTTAGCCAGTTGGCCATTTGATTCAGTTTATTAAGTATAGAGTAATGTTCTGAAATTTAATTTTTTCTTTTATTTTTTATGAACATTTTTAGCAAAATGGTGGCGGTCATTAAAGGCGGAACGAAGTCATCCTTAAAACGAATCTGTAAAAGTTAAGCCGACATGAAAATTCCAAGCTTCAAGCTTTCGATCTTAACTTTGAAACTTTTAAAAATTCCAATAACAGACACACAGGTGCATCCTAGGGTTTATCACTTATTGGTGAGTGTGAATGTGTTGGCAAACAGAGACAGAACTAAAACACCCTCTGCATTGGCGACGACAAGAATGAAGATATGTATGTCTTTAATTCTTTTTTAATTTCCTTCAATTTATGAACGCATTTGCAAGACATATACGCCCATTTTCAATTACTCCCTTTATTTAATTCTTTTCTTTCTACCTTTACCAATTCTTTCATTAAAGATTAAAGATCCTAAGAAAAATGAATGGACAGATGTATATATTATATCACTTCACTCAATAAGTTCATAGGATGGCATCGTTCGTCAATAGTGGCGAACCCTATACTTTGTACTACAAACTTGTTGAGTGATTTTATATTATACCAATAACCACAGCTAGTTAAATATATTCAGCTTGATGATGAAGTATTCCTATACATATTTTACATCACCTTGAGCCCTTTTCAGATTTCATGCTATTTATCGAAGTAGCAAAACATAATTATCCTTTTAACAAAAACATCGGACCATGTATTGCTCTCTTCTTTTCTTCACCTAAACTATACATTTTATTCTCAGCGACAAATAGATAGACGTTTAATTGCAAATGCCTTCTCGACCCATTTATTAATAGATGAACAGCCGCATCTTTCATTGTCTGATGAACATATACAGTATACATCTTTCAAGTTAATTCCAAGAGGTGACTTAAAACAATTTTGTAACCTTGCAAACTACATACCGTCAGTTTCGGCACACAAAGCCCTTTCAATTCTGAATACTAAATGCCTTAGGTAAATGTTTCCCGCTTTTCCGTTGTTTACGTTCCTTTTTGCGATCGTGCGGGTGAAAGAAAGCGAAAGATTTACAGATCATACATACAGACGGACGGATAGGCAAAACATTTCACAACTTTCCGCTAATCACAATTTATTGTGTAACACATCACTCGATAAGTTCGTAGGATGATGTACAAGTGTAAGACAATTAGATACGAAATTCAAATTGCTTTCCTTTCAAGCATAATTTCTGAATTAATGGTCGGACTGTCATGAAGTTTTAACATATTTCTTTTAAAGGTTAATACTATCTTAAAATCAAATGGACCCGTCAGTACTGGCTGCATTCTACGAACTGCGATTAAATGATGTGTTACATGTTCACGTTTTATCCGGTCCTTTGAACCCTACAAACGAAATGACAGGTCGAGCATATATTTCAATGCTTCGTTGATGTTATGTGTACGGTAAAAAACTTGCTTTAAAAATTAATTTTTACATGTTTTTTTTTTTTTTGGCTTATGTTAATAACATTTTCCCCAAAATTTTGCAAGAAAATGAAAAAAAGCGCAATAAAAAGGATTCGTACTTAATCCGTTTAATTGAATTAATCACCTGAGTCTCGTTACATGAGTGAGGATATTTATGTGCGAGTGTGTGTGTGTAAATGTGTGTGTGGGTTAATAAAATAAATAAATAAATAAATACATATATATATATATATATATATATATTATATATATATATATATATATATATATAAAATAAAATTAAACTTTTTACCGGTAGAATAAGATAAATTATACATACATATATACATATATAGATACATAGATATGTAAAAAAAGAAACGCACTCGGTTTACATGCAGTTCGTTCTTGTGTACAATTGCAAAAAAAAAAAAAAAGAAAAAATATTGCAATGCGCCCCATCGCCAAACTCGCTCTTAGCCCACCACCGTTCACTTTTTTCTTTTGAATTACAAATCAATAAAAATTGGATTATTTCTATACATATTTTGTTGTTGCGTCTTTCACATAAATAAATATCCAGTAGTGGTACTTATACCTTTACAATCAATCACACCCGCCTCCGCACTGCTCTCAATACTCGGCTATTGTTCAACTACTGTTTAGTTGTGTGTGTGTGTGTTCTTTTTTTTGTCTTCAGCTTTTTTATTATTGAAGAAATATCTTGCAAAAAAAAAAAAAAGAGAAGAAAACAGGAGGAATCTAAAAAACTGTGTTAAGGTAAGTGCCTAAAAAAAATGTGAACAACAACAATAATAATAATAATAATAATAATAATAATAATGAATAAATAAGTATCTAGGTTATCGACAACGAGAATTGCGTAATTAGCTAGTGAGTGATAAACAAGAGATGGGAGTATCAATGGACTTGGAAATGGTAAAAAGAAGCGCAAGCAAAGCGCTACGAAAACAATGCAGAGTTTTCGTCACTCTTCCTGTAGATAGCTCCGTAAAAAGGGTTAACAAGAATAGATAAAAATAGCAGAGGTAGAGAAGCCAACTGTTAATTTTTTTTGTCTAAACTCGACTCGTTTGACTTTAAATTATAAATTTATTTATTTATATTCAATGTCAATTACATATATTCAGCCATATTAAGCAACGCACTCTTAACGCTAAAGGGGTTCACATATATTACGCTATTTATAGGGAAGACCCATCATCAAGGGCATAGCAAAGCGAATACTTTTCACTTTTCAAAGTGGAGCGATTTTCGCTTAGAATACTTCTTTTTTTTAAACTTAAAGTGTTAGAAAAGTGAACTTAGTCTAAATGGTGAGACTATGATCTAATATACATCAGAGATATATCAATGAGAAAAAGCAAGCAAACAGTGTATACAATATTTATAGACATAGAAGTATTAAAGGCAACCACATAACTTTATGTAAAGTATTAGAGGCGTACATAAGTCTATGTAACTATGCTAAATAATTCCTTAAAAAGTATGGTCTACCGAACTGGGATTCGAACCCGCGAGAACACCGACTTGGCAGTTCCGAGTCTATCCCTTGCACTGTGCGGCAGCCCAAATACCTAACATCGCATAGAACTCTGCCTGTTATCATCTAACAAGAAGTTACTACCTACGATGATGATATGTATAGTAGTGATTGCTCTTTTAGCCAATAGTTTGGTTTGTTGTTAAGTCTATATATAAGTTCGTATGAAAAATCGGATCAGCTTAAAAGATAATTGATAAAGTTAAACAAATTATTAAAGGACATAAGAGCCGAGTAGTCCTTAAATAGTGCTTGATTGCTGGACGAGTCTGTTTTATCGCAACACTTTCCCCTTATGTACATAGGCATAAACGTAGCATAACCTGTTTACGGCGATGCCCAAGAGTCTGGACAGTGGAAACAGGAACGATCTAGAGGTTTTTGGACGACTCGTACGCAAATAGGACTTTTGGTCGGATATAGCCGCTATGGCGGTTTAGGGCAGATATTGGCTGATGGAAAGAATCTGTTACTTACACTGTTGGCTGCATCTTTGCACATTTCGAATACATGTTCTGCCTAACAAACATGCCCGGAATATCAAGAGTTACTGATTGTGCTACAATGACGCGGCCAAAGGAGAGGAGTTGTTCATCCATTTCGTTCATATCCACTTAATGCTAACATACTAAATTCGAAAAAATTGTTCAAAATAGTTCCCATAAGCAGAATTTGGATTTGCTTAGCTTGTTTGAAAGGTATTCTCATATAGATTTATAGGGTGTCCACAATAGTATTTTACGTTTTTTTATTATGGACGTAGTAGGCTTCCGAATCCAACTATATCCTATTTCTGGACATTTAACAGAGCCCTTTTAGGGTGTTTAGAGAGCTGCGTTAAAGGAAATGGTAAACGTCTTTGCCAGTCGAATTCGAATTAATCCAGAAAGAGAGAGAAAGAAAAATCACGCTTACCGAAACGGATTATAGAGCTAAGCACAACGCATGCATAAGTATCGTGGATCATGCATTCAAATGTCAAAACATCACACGGTTGCAGGTAGAGTTGAAATGCATGCATTACTGTAGCAATGCGCTCAGATAGCTTTGCTTTTAACTTTGCTGCATGCATTCCCATTGAGAAGCAAAATAATGATGTCTATGCACATAAAAGTAAAACCATTGGATCAGTTCTTAAGGATCACATGTTTTCGCAACATTGCAACAATGGCACGGAAGTTATGCATTTCTGGCTGTTTAATCCATTGCCTCGCTTTAGTGTATCTTGAAATTGCGTTCAGCTCTTAATGCGATATACATAATGTATAAGTTTTGCTGCCATAAGCGATATGAAAATTATGGGTTACTTGCATGCATGCCATGAATGATCGCAATTTCAAATTATCAAGCTTGTGGGCATTAAGAGCATTTAGATTTGGAGTGCAGGTCTTTTTTATCTGCCCTTGTTATGACTTGTTTTCTAACTTACCATGTTTTTAACAAAAATTAAGCGAATTGTATAATATATAAAAGTTTTTACCATTCATTTCCGTTGCTAATTAAAATTTAATAAAGCAGATAAAATGATGATAAAAATCTTTACTGCATATGGAATGCAATTCATAGGAAAAATTATACAATGGCTACTAATAATAAAAAAATATTAAATAAAATGCATTTTTCAAATATATATATATATATATATATATATATATATATATATGTATATACATAATAATAAAATAAACGAAAACGAATTCGATAATAAATATAAAGCAAAGTTTATAATTTATTAGCGATTGAAATGTCAAAAAAAAAAAAAAGTGAAGACGCAGTGAAACTTATCAAAGTAAGTTACAACTTTTACGAAGAATTCTGTCACAAAAATTGTACAAAATTATCAAAAAACAAATAGTGTCGCAATCAATACAAGACCCATAAATAACATTATCTCTAATTACTACACTGTAGTGTTTTTTTATATATATATATATATTTTTTTTTTTTTTTTTTTTTTTTTTTT